ACCATCTCTGGCAATTTGATGTCAGTTTGAGAAATAAGAGATAATTAAGGGCAAGATGAGATCTTTAAGACCAAACCATCTCCAGAAATTGGATCCCATTTTCAGAAATATGATGCAATTGAGGATCAGATGATATTTTACAGAGACCAGTCTCTGGCAATTGAATGCCACTTGAGAAATGTGAGATAATTACGGTTGAGAGGAGCTACTTCGGGCAGCAACTCTGCAAATTTCATGCGATTTTCAGATATTTTAAATCACCGAGGGTGGGATGAGAACCTTAGAGAAATCCATCTCTACAAATTTGATGCCAATTCCAGGGACAGTCAAGGTTTCAATGCCTGAAATAGGAGGAACGAAAAATTTGCAAGTACAAAAACATGAAGACAGCTGGTTGCCATGGCTCCGAAACACGCTTCGATAGAGGAATCTTTCAAACCAGGACCGACTAGATTGGCTGCGGCCATGGTTATCCCCATAGATATGAAAGCCAAAGTGTAATTGCCCATGGCGACAAGAATGTACAACCTACCTTCAAGAATATGTTATTTTTGATATATTTTCATAGTCAGTGAGACATGACAGAACTTATTCCTAGAGACTGGAAAACCATTATTGTTAAGAAAAACTTTAGTAGCATACCGTTCAAGTGACAATATAGAGGAGATTTGCATGCGATGGAATAAAAACATAATTGGTGAAGGATATAGTCCTTTTGTGCATTGTCGTGTCAAACCAGCACTGTTTTATGTCTGGAATGGGGTTCATAACTCGGTTCTGAAGAACACATTTTTTCCCGTGATTTCTTCCTCTGTATCATGAGTTATGTTATTTTTGAGACTTTAGGTTGGTATTTGTGATCGCCTGACACTACCCACTTTCTAAAGAAACCCATAAAGAATAATAAAATTTTACTGCGCCAAAGGATGAAAATAAAATTCTCAAAGCAGCCCAGTCTGGATGCGTATTAATTTATATAGAAGAACCGGTTCAAATGTAAACATAAATTGGAGAATACTGGGGGAAATCAAATGTTTGGTACAAAAAAATATGACCAACATCAATAAAATCTCTGCGACGGTCAACGTAAAAAGGTATTCAAAGGAAACAGAAAGAACAGCATAAATATAGATCTAAAACGCATGAAATTCTGTCTTATTAAATCGGATTCTACTTTGATTCACGAACTCAATGAAATTGATATTTTTTTCCACAATAAGGCATTATCCAAAACGAGACTGGTTTCCATGTAAAGAAGGGTTGAGTGCATCTTCCTGCACAAAGAAGTACACTGGAGAGAAGAATTGTTGGTTCCCCATTATCTTCACGAAGTCAAATCTCATTAGTCGTGACTCTCATCTCACCAATGTCCACCCTTATTTTTATTGATGGCATTCGACCCGAGAATTACCCTATGTAGGAAATTAATATACTAACATTAGACATCACGTTCGGCCTGACTTGCACATTACATTCCTCAAATAATGAGGTTGTATCTGACCCACATTACTCAGATGAGAAGAGTCATTCCACATCCTGAAAGGAAATAGACACGCGAAGAATTAAAATATGTACTTGTTCACGCAGACAACACTGAAAGGTAGAACAACCCGGAAAGGGCCATTGGCCACAGATAATGATCATTCATGACTAAAGAATCAAGAGCAACACCCGTTGTTTGCATTTATGGCTGACAAGCACTGCAGAGGTGTTCACAAAGAAATTTCACCTCTAATTTATATGATTTACACCTAACCGGTTTGATGTGTTGTGTCTTGCAATCTTGGTTCCATGCACTCCAATGTAACTTGCCATGACTATACACTTCATACTAAAAATCTAGAGAGAGAGAGAGAGAGAAAGAGATCAATGGTGTAATAGCTAGGATTTCCAGTTCTTCCTGAAAGTAATTTAAGCTATCTTTCTGAAAGTGGATGAGTCTTGGACAAACAAAGACTAGCGCTCAACCTTTTAATGATCATAAAGTTAATTTTCTCCACGTGTGGCTCCAGTAAAACATAGAAACAGACGTTCAATTAGCAACACAATGATCCTCCCCTGCAATGCCCATATCTGTCATGGGTTGCACCGAAACAAGATTCCTAGCACACTCTGTAAGACATAAACTACAAAATTTAGATCACCATGGGATATCATGTCCTTCCCAAAATAATAAGAGCTAATTACGACAGTGCAACCCAGAGCATCGTCAAAGGTGGTTCAAGGTATGTTGGGTGCATCTCAAAACTGTGCTTTCAAGGGCTACATGCAAAAATATCATCAATAGACCTGAAGAATGAGTGGACATTCTAAGAAAAAACCAATTCTAATGGAATGATCTGTGAATAAAAATCTCTCAAAAAGGCTTTCTGTGACTCATTTGGACCTCTGTGAGCAGCTTCACCGAAACATGAAGTTCCTCGATTTACTTTCTGAATTTTCTATGCAGCAACCCTGTTCAAAAGTTTGTCGTTAGCAGCCCGTGATAAAGAATGGACTTAATTCTTTCACATCCCAGATTGATGGCATGTGAGTGTGTCGGATAACATCATATAAAAATGAATAGACAGCCAAAATCATCCAGGGGTGTCATATCTCTCTCTCTCTCTCCTAACATTCTCTCACAGTTCAAAACCACGTTGTGGAAAAGGGCAGAGATCTTGGAGATTCTTACAGATTTATGCAAACCTAGACGACTAAATACCGGGCATTCACAACAAGCAGATCATGTGACAACCTTGTGGAAATGAAGAGATTATATGATTCCAGGAAGAACTCAGCCCTCCCAAATGTGATGAGAGAGGAACTTGGAAAAAGGCCTGCTTGCAGGAAGGGACATGAACCAGGGGATGGTCAGCGACTACTATCACTCAGAGACTTTGATTGGACGAGTTCCCACTGAACCTTCCTCAAAATGTGTTGGTATACACGGAAACAGAAAACAGAGAGCTAACATGGAGGGAAGGAAGGTCCTGCGTACATGAGTTCGAGTCTCAGTGCCAGAAAAACAGCACCGATTTGGCATGACCACTCTTTGAGGGAAGGTCTGAATGTTCAAATAGAGGAGCCCTGTTCAGCTCGAATTCTTGCTGCTACTCGAGAGTTTTTCTAATTGATATTTGCCACGATGATGATGATAATGGCACTTTGAAATCCTTCAACTTCTCCTACCAAGGTCGTTCTCAACCCTCTTCATTGATCACGGGAGCCCAACTTCGGATCGAGGAGGGAATTTAGAGACGATGATCGTGAAATTGGGTTACTTGGTTTTTTCCTTGTTTTCGATTTGCGGAGGTAATGAGTATTTTCCCCGAGTGAGGAAATCGAAGTAAAAGGAAAGACGCCGATAGACGGAACAGATTTCGTACCATTTCTTCCCCGAAGAAGGCCCGGACTGACCAACCTTCACGCCACCTATGCCGTCGCCATCACCTTCAACGGATCGTCATCACATCAAGCCCCACCCCGCACCTCCTCTGTCCACTACCTCCGGCATCGCGACTGCGATGATCGTGATACAATCCTCCGCCGCGATATCGGAGGACCCGGCACGTCAAATCCCATGGTGGGAACGGATCCCCCCGGGGAGAGAAGGCCATTCACGCCTCCAAATCAAGCCTGAAAGGTCGCTTCAACCTCAAGATCCATGTCGCCATCTCCCCACTGCCACCTAGCACGCAATCAATCATTCGCTTCGATTTGTCGGGAGAAAGCGACGGATTACCTCTACCCAGATCGCAATCGAGACCCCCTGAGTTTCAGATCGCCCTCAACGTCCGACCAGAAAATTTGTGATCGCGAGGAAGCCACCGAGGTCTCCGACCCGCCACGATCGATCTCGACTCGGTCTACGACAAAATACGGGCACAAACAACCGGACAGAGGTGAGTGACCCATGTCGGGCCCCAGGATAGAGTAAAGATCAAGGGGTCAACTGACACTTATCCTGCTTGACTATAGTGACAAGTGGTTTTCTCGATATGGTCTGACGTGGAAGATTGACTACTTGATTGGGGGCAAGTGGCGTGTTGACAACTAGGAAGCGGTTAGGGGACACCTAGTCGTCGTCTTCAGTCTGACTTATTTTGTTGGGAGCTGACCCACCCACTCCCCCCCCTCCTTTGACATAATATTTCGGGTTGACCGTAAAAATGATTAACACCGTGACATTTTTAACGTTAATTTTTTAAAAATATATATAAATAATTGGCAATCTGAATTTGAATGGGGATTAAAAAATAGCCATACGTCAAAAAATAATACAAAATATTGGATAATAATAAATTAAACATTTTTATGTAAAATTTATGCTATAGCCCCTCAAGTTATAATTAATTCATCTAAATACGACGTCAAGCTCACTAATTTTTATTTAATTTCTCAACGTGTGTTTATTAAAGTTAATGCATTTACTTATTATTAATCCGTGTTATCAGTTTATACTTTCGGTGTTTTAATTTAATTAATTTTGGGGTATAGAAATCGATTACGCTTTCATTGAGGACGTTTCAGAAAAAATCCAAGGGGGGGGACCCCTCCAATAATACAATAATAAGACGGTCTGATCGGATTTAGTATTAAATTTAAGGCATTCATGCATTATTAATCCCTGATCAGATTTATAGTGTTATCGTAAATAAAATTAATTTTTGAGTAAAAATGTTATTGACGTTCATGAGGATGTTTTAGACAACATCCAAGGGGGGAGACCACCTGGAATAATAGAATATTCCTCGCGTGCTCCGGTGCAAGATCTTACGTGGGAACCAGCATATTCCTTCTCCCGGGCATCTCCCCCTATCGCTGTCGCGTGGACCGTCGGGGACCGCCGCCGCCGCCACGTGGGATCGGCGGCCGCCGACGGGACTTCTAAATAGCGGCAATGGGCTTCGCATTATTAGTCTCTCTGTTTCAGATCTGCCTATCCCACGCAGGCCATTTTCTTCCATATTGCCTCTCTCTCTCTCTCCCTCCCTCCTTCTCTTCCGGCGGCGGCGATCATGGCGGCCACTGAAGGTGGAGCTGTGGTCTCTTCTCTCTCCGTTGTGGTGGCGGTGACCCTCCTCTTTCTCGCCTCCGGGGAGGAGCTGCCCAGGATAACGCACCACCCTGAGAACGGGGGGATGCTCAGCTTGCTGGTCGTCGGAGACTGGGGGCGGCGAGGCCTCTACAACCAGTCTAACGTCGCCGCGCAGGTCTCTCCTATCCCATCTTCATTGAATGGTCTTCTCCTCTCTCTCTCTGACGGAGGGAGTATCTGGGATTCCGGCAGATGGGGAAGGCCGGCGAGCGGCTGGGCATCGACTTCGTGGTCTCCACCGGCGACAACTTCTACGAGGATGGCCTCACCGGCGTCGACGACCCCGCCTTCATGGAGTCCTTCACTTACCTCTACACCGCCGCCAGCCTCCAGAAGCCCTGGTACAGCGGTGAGCCTCCCACACTCTCCCTCTTCGTAGAAGCCCGTAGCCATTAATCAATTCCGTGGTCTCGTCTCCTCCAACAACCAAGACCAATGTTTCTGACCATGAATACCATTCTTTTCTTTGCCTATCCTTGATTGATGATAAAAATATTCTCATGATTCGATTGGTTGCGCCATTTATCTGATTTATCTATTGAAAAAATCTAAGAATTGGTCAAAAGTTGCTTTCGAGGTTGCTTTTTTTTATTTTAAAAAATCGAAATATCTAAAACTCAGATTGTTCTATTACCACCCCAGTACTAGGAAATCATGACTACCGAGGAGATGTGATGGCACAACTAGACTCAGCGCTGAGAATTATCGACACCCGGTGGCAGTGCATGAGGTCCTTCATCCTCGACACTGGTAACCCACCAACCATATCAATAGATACCACCACCGCCACCATCATTACTAATAATAGTAGGTCTGATGAGTTATCGGCGGCGGTGGAGCAGGGGTGGCGGAGTTCTTCTTCGTGGACACGACCCCCTTTGTGGTGCATTACTGGGAGAACCCAGAGGACCACCAGTACGACTGGAGGGGAGTGGCTCCCAGGGAAGCCTACGTGGGCAAGCTCCTCAAGGTAGGAGAAGGAGGGGCACGAGGAGGGGGGGGGGGGGTTGACCAGGGAGGTTGACTATGGGCTCTCTGTGTAGGAGCTGGACATGGCGCTGGCGGCATCGGCGGCTAGGTGGAAGTTCGTAGTGGGGCATCACACCATCAGGAGCGTGAGCGACCATGGCGACACTGAGGAGCTTGTGGAGCTTCTCCTTCCTATTCTTCAGGTATTCTAGTATCTCCTTCCTTGTCTTGTTTGAGGCCCAGAGCTATGATGAACAAGAAAGCTTCATTTCTTTTTATAGTATTAGAGAGAGAGGGAGAGGGAGAGGGAGAGGGAGAGGGAGAGGGAGAGGGAGAGGGAGAATTATTTAGGAAGCAGATGACTACCTGTGTGAACAATATGTATGCTCGCCTCTATGTCGTAATGAGTAGGGCCAATAGTCCCTTCCTCAAGCTTACACTGAATATCATGTAAAAAAACATTTTTATTTGATAACTTATTTCAGATTTTTTCCAAGAAATGTCTGATAATTTCTTTAGCCGAGTTCCTTAACAACATTTTTAATGATACAGAGAAGGAACGTCGACCTCTACATTAACGGCCATGACCACTGCCTTGAGCACATCGGAAGCCGCCACAGGTTGCCCTCTCAATGCCTCGTGATGATCCCCATCACATCAAATTCGTCGCTAGCCATCCTCACTATACACTTCCTCTTCTTCGTCTTCCTCGTCTCCCATTTAGCTCGTCTTTTTCTCCCTCATCCCTATACCTCTCCTCCGTCTTCCTTTCCCCTCAGTTGTCTTCTTCTTCTCATCGTGCAGTCAGCTACAGTTCCTGACCAGCGGAGGAGGATCAAAGGCATGGAGGGGTGTCTTCGCACCCAACACAGACGAGGTGCGGTTCTTCTACGATGGTCAGGGCTTCATGTCCATGCAGGTGACCCCATCCCATCTGGAGGTCGTCTTCTATGACGTCCATGGCCGGGCTATTTATACCTGGGGAACCAGCAAGGACCTTCTTCACCCCTTCGTGTAGAAGGAAAAGAACGCTCGATAATGATGGCACTGCGTCGCCTGAAGCCGGAAGATCGTTGGAAGTAAACCAGGAACGGATATATCTTCTGCAAGGAAGGGGTAAGGGGGTAAATTTATGTTCTCGAGAATAACGCGATCAGTGAATCGTATAATATGCCATCACCATCGCCATGAATTATGTAGAAAGAGAGAGAGAGAGAGAGAGAGAGAGAGAGAGAGAGAGAAAGAATCACTCTCGGTTCATCACACGTTAGTTTCAGAGGGGTAACTGAGAGATTTTTTTGAAAATATTTCCCGACTATTAAATACATGGACGTTGAATTTAGGTGATAGAATGAGTACGCATTTCTTTGACTTTAAAATAATTTTAAAAACTAGAAAATAAGTGAAGACCTCAGATAACTACCCATTATTGAAAAAAAATAAAAATTGATGTCTTTTCATTCATATGTTTTCAGTTGGGAATGAAAATAGGCTTGTATTAACTTGTACAACATTAATGTCTTATTACGTGAGAAGTGTCTTGATGAATTCAAAAAGGTGATGGCGCATTTGGAAATTTATAAAATAATTTCTTAAATTTTCTTACAATCAAACCACATCTAAGGTCTTCAAAATTCACCAAAAGTCTTCATTCTCATCAATATTCATGGATGGTATTATGTTATATCAGTCTTCTAATGAACTAATGTAATTTCTTGCAAATTATACACAAGTAAAATGAAAAAGTAATCTTAATATTTATTTTTATGACTTTTATTTTACTAGAGACTACCCACTTATCATTTTTAATCCATCAAATCACAGATTAAGATGATTCGTGAATATGCGCCTTATATTTCACATTTATGTCTATCAAACCTGTCAAGATTACAAAAAATAAAACCTTATATATGGTTATCCATCTCCTACACCCCCCACCCAACCGTGTCATGTAACCATCCCATCCCCAAGCGGGCATGCAATATTTTTCGACCAGTACTTTTGTCTACGACCTAAACTGCCCTTCATCCGCTATCACCGACCTCTAACCATCCGTCCCTTCGAGCTTCTACACAACAAGTGAGCTTAACCTTGGTGAGCTCCAAACCCCAGTTAAAGCACACCAACCCAACAACACGACACCTCGCTTTGACATAAGCAAATCAGTGGGATTATTAATAAGTATCCACCATCCAATAGATTATTGAGGTTTAAAACAAATATTTTCACAGGTGACTGAAGCTAATAAAGGTCTTATGATGATAACTACTTAATCATAGCCTTTGTTGGGGTATTTGCATAATATTCCTACGGCTGACTTATCGCCATTACTCGTCGCACGCGCGAGTTAGCATCTTCCGCAACAAAGAAAGTTTCCAACGATTCTAATCCGAGGTTGGTCGGGTTCGACGGGGACCTGCTGGGCCCACGGCTGCAAGTTGCCTATTCACTGACTAGTGTCCGTCCCCCATTTGGCTCGGCCCTTGACTTCCCATCTTCGGCCTAAACTAATTGTTTTTAACTGGACCCACCCAGACCTGGACCCGACCACCCCGTCCTAACTACCCATTTGCACACATTTGAGAGACATAGACCTAGCGAGAGAGAGAGAGAGAGAGAGAGAGAGCTTCAAGTGTTGAAGCTCAACTCATCCTGAATGGAAATCAGGATACATTTGGGTTGGACTAGGCCGGACTCATCTACTCATCCATCCAATTGACTCCCCCAATAACATCTTAATTAATATTGTTAATTAATTATACATTTTCATGTAGGAGAAAGGAAGGAATAACTACCTATAATAGCTTTTATGCCAAATAATTTGGAATGGAGACCTTTGACCAATATGTTATACTTCATAAATTGAGACAATAATAGTCATACTATTAATGTCATGAGCTCATGGGGTTGTACCACCCAATCATACGTGCTATCAATTTAGGAATCGAAAGGCTCATATGGTAAGAGAAAAACAGTTCCAGTCATGTCGAAACATCAGCCCAATCTAGACTTGGGCCATGTCCTCATTACCTCCATTACTTGCTCTAATATCTTGTTGAATTTTAGAGTTGCTATTATTTTGTGTTGATTAAAAAAAGTGTGTAAAATAATAATATAATATTACTAAATATCTGTCAAGTAAATAAGACTATATTATAATTATATTGTACTAATCCAAACTCTCCTCCTTTTTCCCAACACCCCCTCCCCTTCCATTTAAAGCTCCACCACCAACCCCTTCACGCCCCTATCCTTGCATACCTCATCCTCCTCTCTCTAAGCATGTGCCATTCCTAACTTGTTCTTCATTAGACAATACAATGTTTTTGTAAAAGGTCCATCCATGGGACACCATTGCCGTTATTAATTGGTACACAAAAATCTGTAAAATGGGCTCAAAGATTTGTAATTTGATGAGTTTTTTTTTCTATATCCCAATCTTGACTTCTTGTGGCTTTTGGGAAATGTTGAAAGGGATCCATTGAATTTTAAAATCTTATTATTTGTTTTTTTAAAATTTGTGGTTAGATTTATATTCCTGAAAAGTGAAAGATATTGAGATATTGAGATATTGTTATTTATAATGTGAATGGAACACTATTTTTTAAAATGTGCAAGTAGTCTTTTATGCTTCTTTTATTTCCAGTTATAAATTTAATAAATTTGGTGATGATATTAGGGGAGAAAAATGGTTGTTAGGGGAGCCTACATGCCATGCAAGACTTAGCCCAGCCTTACTTCAGACAAAAATGAAGTGCCAAGAGTGACTTCAAAAACAACCTTATCTCATAGAGAATAGACTTCAAGGCTTACCTTGAAAGAGAACTCAGCTCAGCCTAGATAATTGTTGGGCCAATTATTTGGGCTTGATAAGTAGGCCCGACCTTATTGGAACATCTAATGGGGGAGGAGTCAAAGATAAACTAGAGAGCTCTCTTAAGAGGATTTGATGCCTCTAATTGGGGATGAGTTATGTTAGAGATAGAGCGAGAGTGAGAGCAAGAGCAAGAGTAAGAGCGAGAGAGAGAGAGAGAGAGACCACATGGGCAATTCTCAATCTATTTAGGAGCATGCCGATGAGCTACTTAATAGACTGGTGAACTTGAAACCCAGCTTGGCTCTTCTTATTTCAAGTGGGTATAGATACTATGTACTATAAAGCAATAACCTAAATTGAGGTTGTAATTGTAGTACTACAAGCACTTCTCTTAAAGTAGCCCATAATGCTCATTATATGTCACAAAAACAACTAAATTTGTGCTCCAACATCTAAAAGAACCATTATCACTATCAAAAGGATAATACCCCCAAAAGATCTTGGGTAGCTTCCCCCATGTACTTACCTTATTTATATACATCTTCAATCTCTTCCATAAGCACCAATTGTCTCATATGCTATGCTATCATTCATACTCATTGAATATCATTATGCCCAAACATTGCTCATCACATTATATGAAACAATTTGTATCGAATCATATAAGATCAGCTATCATATTGTTGATATTCTTTCTTTATTCTCATATGCAACTTATGATGAGTTGATTCACTTCTTGAAAAATGAACTCAAAAACTTATTTGATTGATCCCAAATTTCTGTTATATTTTTCTATCAAATATTATATAGTATTTCTTTCAGTTTTTAGTGAAGAAATAATTTTTACAATAGTGTGAAATGATATTTCTATCCTTTTGTACATTATGTTAGCTTGAAAATAAATGAGAATTTAGGAGTCAATTATTTCCAGCTCAAGTAATGATTGTATTGCCAAGGAAGCTCACAAAAGATAATTCACATAATATGATATAGGTCTATTTGAATTTGATGTAATTATCAATGTTTCATTTACATTAATGATTAGTATATGTAGAGATTACATAAATATGCATGAAGTCATCTATATACATGATATTATAGCACATAAAGAGAATTTAATAGAATGTTGCTTTTACTTAGCAATGACTTAGACTGATTGAGACAACACTAACTATATCAACTTCATGGAACACATTATCATGAAAATGGCCTGCATATCCACATGTATTTTAATTTACAATTTGATGACTTGACTCGTAAATGTCCCTCAAAAATAGATGTAACTTGAAAAATATTATCTACTATTCCAAGAAAACTTATAATGTTCACCACAAAAAACAAATGTGTTTAAAGTTGAATACAAGAAATTTGTAGGTCTTCAACTTGGTAAGTAAAGGGCCATCGACAGTTTGAGTGGTGTAAAGGAGGGTAGGAGTTGAGAGGGTCTATAGAAGTGCGCAAGGTATGATAGGATGATAATGACACTCAAAGAGTGGTGAGAAAGGGATAGTGTGGAATGATGCTTGTAATAGGGGGACATGGCCTTTCCAACATGCAATACAATTAAGATAGGGACAATTAAGTACTATAAAGGAATGCAAAATTGAGGACAAATTGGCACAAATCAAGATAGAGCTAAATATGGTATTCTTGAGAAGGATGAGTTATTCTTTTTTAAATTTTCACTTGATTTAACCCTAATAAGATTATTTACTTTTAATAGAGTGTGAAAGAGTATAATAGGTCCTAACACCCCTAATTTTGAGGTAGTTTGTAATGACCCACAACAACAAGGGAATTGATGAGAGACTCATCCCTAATTACAATAGTTATGATGACTTGAAACTAATTAACTATTTAAAGTTTTATTTAATAAAAAAATATTTTTTTTCAAAGCATTATAAAATAGGTAAAAACCTTATCATTCACACCTATACTAGATGAACTTTTTAGGCAGCTACACCAAATACACACACACATACTCTCTCTCTCTCTCTCTCTCTCTCTCTCTCTCTCTCTCTCTCTCTCTTACTGTTAGTACTTGCATTAGGAATATACATTTCTTCTGTTAAAGTTTAGGTCATGATAATCTTGGAAAAATGATTGACCTCTCCTCACTAATATGATAATTACTTCAAGTTGATGTTTCAAGTTTGTACTTGGTTCTTAATTTTTCATTTCATTTTAGTCAACACATCTTG